TACTTGGTATAAGTAACAAACTTCTTTTCACTTTATATATTTTAAGCTTCAGACTGAGTTGAGCGTGGATGTGAGCTTCTTACTAGAGAAAATTAAGCATTATTGTATTGGAGAATATTCTATTGTTTTATCTGAGTTTTGTGGTTTTATTTTAAAATGATTGGGATACAGATCTTGGAGCTCTATAAGGTTTTAATAAATTTCTATGAATACAGTTAACTCTTAGTATTTTCTCCATAAATTCATATTTTTGTTATTTCAAACTCTTATATGGCACAAATGCCAAGCTGCCCGAAACGCATCCCATCGAATCATTCGGTTTCCAGTTAATATGCCCAATTTGAAAACCAAGCGACCGAAACCGCGACACCAATCGGGCGGCAATCAATTTTCAGCGTCAGAAATTAGCCCGCAGCTGACAGTACGTTTGCAAAAATGAAAGCTCCCGGGCGCGCAGCGAAAAAGACTGATTCCTTGTTGGCTGCGCGGCGATTGAAATCAGCCGAAGAGCAGAGACGCGCCTTGGCGTGCAATCAATCGCTGCTTGCTTTGGCGCGCGCCCCGCGTCCGTGTGTGCGTATTTCTCGTTTCGCGTGCGCTGTGGCTATTGGGCTGCGGAACTGCGGCGCGCCCCTCCCTGTTTGCGTTGCTCGTCTGGCACCGCTGTTGACGTTACTTTTGGGAGTAAATACCTCGGATATTTACACGAGTATTTGCACGTATGCCTATCTTTTGTGGATATTTTTAATTTGCACTTGTGAATGTAAACAATTAGCTTTCTTCTTTAACAATTTCATATTATTTGTCTCAGTTTAGGAGTGAGTTGCAGGGAAAACTATTTGATTTCAAGTAATAAAGAGGTTTTTAATGCCAGATAAAACCGAAGATAGAAAGTGTCTGAAAATATGTGTCTGTGGTTACACTGATGTTTTCTGGTTTGTAACCTTAATGCAGAACATATGAATGTGGATGTCTCCGTTTAGGATGCACATGATAATGACCTTGTGTATTATTTTGATGCCATGAAACATCGTAATATACGTACGTTGGAAACTTTCGTTGGGTTGATATTCATTTCTAATGTTGCTTTGATTTTTCAAAATATTTTCACTACTACTTGCTTTATCAATATCATTGTTAACGTGGTGCACGTTGTGCAAATGCGTAAGTGTGTAGGTTGTGTAATGAAAGTAGCCTTCTTCTGTGTTGGTTGTGTAAAAAATCTACTTTATGACTTTTGGCATAATCATTCGAATACGCATAAGCATTAATAAATTACACCTCTTGCGTTCATTTTCGTTCCTGAAGGCATAAGCGTCCCACTCTGTGTCGTTATACGATTATATTTCACCGCGCGAGGTTTATTGCGCCAACGCCACTTTTATCACGAGACTAATGATGTATAAAAAGTGGAAAGCCGGAGAAAATGAGCTCTCCCCACGAGCACTCCTAACTCCTGTTTCTGCGTGTACAGTGGGCTGAGTTAGAAACACATTTTTGACGATGATATTTGATTTTGAATGACAATTTTTGTTTTCATTCTAAAGGACGTATAAAATGAACGTTTCTTTTAAAAATATTATGCGTTTCATGATTAAATTCTTTTCAAACGGGGAGCTTATGAGGATTCCATATAGGCGTATTAGGCTTATAATCTCATCATGAGTTGCCCTAACATGTGTGCCGTGTGTGCTGCGAACCATGTGCGAGAGTTGTATATAGTGTGTAACATGGTAACCTCGCGTGCGGCTGATTCCACTTCTGATGAAAAACGCAGTGGCGTATGTACATTGTATTGTGGTTCTCAAATTGAGCTTCAGTTACTTTAGAGTAAATTCGCAACAACACACCGTCACGCTCTCTTGATTTCAACTTGTCTTAATTTGTGCTTCGTTGAGAAAAAATATTGACTTGTCAATTAACTCTATCTCAAGAAATAGGAATTGTTTTGTTTCTGAAGGTATGTGTCGTATTGAATGCGTGAAATGGAATGCCAAGGTGCCCAAAAGAAAATTGTTTCCCCAGCTTGCTTACCACCTGCCCCTTGTGTCTAAACTTGGATGCGTGCAGGCGGTGCGAAAGAGATTTGCGAGTGCACGTGTGGCGGGGCGGAGCGCTGACGAGCGTGTCCCCTGTTGCAGGCGGCGCGGCATGCCGGGCGCCGACCCCTTGCGCTGAGGGGCTGTCCGCCGCGCTGAGGGCCGCCCGCCGGCCGCGCCGCGCCATGGGGCCCATGTGGGCGTTGCCCGTGCGGTTGCGGGGCCCGCTGGCCGGGCCGCTGGCGCTGCATCTGCATCTGCCGCTGCCGCTGGCGCTTCCTCTGCCGCTGCCGCCGCTGCTGCTGCTGCTGGGCGCGGCGCTGGTGCTGGGCCCGCGGCCCGCCGCCGCCGCGCACTGGGCCCAGTCCACCGAGCTGCACCCCAACTTCGCCGTCTTCTGGTCGCCCAACGAGGAGGACATCACGTTCGAGCTGCAGGTGCGCACGCTGGGCTACGTCGGCTTCGGCTTCTCCGCCGACGGCACCATGACGGACGCGGACATGGTCATCGGCTGGGTGTACAAGGACAAGGTGTTCCTGCAGGTGAGTCGCACGGCCCGGCTGCGCCGGATTTGCGGTCGCCAGCTGGCGTTCGCTCGCGAGTGGGCGGGAGTGGGGCGGTGCACATTCATTATTCCTCCATCTGAGACTTTTAGCCGTGTATTTACGAACGCTTTACCTTCACTAAAAGCAGCTTAAGCGGTTCACGAAAAACGGTCGAAGGGGGAAAAGCTTGATGATACATTCGAAAAGTGCTTTATAAATGTAGCACCCATCTGTCTTTGATTGATTTTCACACGCGATTCGAATTTCCCACACTATTCGAAGCACTCACGTCAAGTATTAGAATCATGTTAGATCTTGTTCACATATTCCAGGAGCCATCGCAACAAAGAAACAATGGAAATAGTAGAAAGGTATTGCGAAGCGAAATCCAATTCATCGGCCGGGCATTTTCAGGAAAAGAGCTATTGTGGTGAAATGAAAACAAAATACATTGGTATTAGGTGGGGAATTGAGAGAAAATCCATGTGATATGAATATGTAAATAGTAAAGTGTTGCATGGCGTCATTTACATAATAATATAAATTTGGCGATACACATGAGAATACTACAAACTAGGCACATTTCGAGCCAGATTCGTAAACAGAAATCCATAAAAAACGGAATATTTCTTGCATTTTGACAGTAATTCATCCAAAATAGTATATTAATGTTAATAGAATAATAGAAATATTAGGTTTATGCTGTTCAAGTATTTCAGTTCTTATTGTGTTAAAATACTAACAACCTCATATTTGCATTCTCCTAGTACGACCGAATATCCACTATATAAAATACATGAACCACACCTAAACGTTTTTATTCTCCGCTCCGCCGTTTTGCGCGTTGTACAAGCGCCAATTCGGTTTCGCCTATCTTGTGGCGGAACTTCTAACGTAGCATGCTATTCCCCGCGCGAGTGCGGCCTCCCGGGAGTACGTAGGGTCGCGGGCGCTGGCAGAATTGTGCACTTGGCGGTACGAAGCGCGGAAGCTTCGCTCAGAATCCCAATGACCCGCACCGCACCGGTGGGCGGCGGCGGCGGCGGCGGCGACGACGTTCGCGATTGCGGTAGCCCCGCCCGCCCTGCGCCACCGCACCCGGCGCCCGCGCCCGGACGCTGTTCACATCGCGGCTACCGCGCTCGCGCGCACCGCTTTCCCAATCGCCGGCCGAGAAGGGCTGCCGGCGCGTGCTCCGCCCACGACACGTTTGGCGGAGTTTGGATATCGTGATTCTGTGAACACGGGAGTCTTTCGCGGCTACGGGAAACACACGCGATGTGGATTTTTCACACTCGTCGAACCGCTCACGCCAAGAACCTTTGTCGGGCAGTAGAATGCGAGTGTCGAATCTACGAAATGTGATCCGTGATTCCGTGAGTTTATGATGACGGGAGTGACGATGCTGGAAAGAAATGCAAGGGCCACTCGGAAACGGCGAGAAAACCTTTCGCGCTCTCGCTCCACACATTCTACGAGTATGTAGAGCAGGTCTATCCCAAGAAGCTGGATTCAGAGCATCGTGGCCCGGAAAATGCCCGGGGCACCGCCGGGGTTATTTCTTCACTCTTCTGTCTGTCCACTTCCGCGAGAAGGTTGCCACACCCTCCTATACGGACCTATTGTAATATTGAGCATATTCGCGGGGGCACGCCGTGTCCCCGCGGCTGCTCTGGGCGATTGTCGTAGAACCTCTGTTAGGGGCAGGTCTGTCATAGGGTGACTGGGGTTGAAGCTGCAACGTTAGTCGTTACTCTGATTGTGGAGATTACGAACGTAGGAAGTTATGAACATCTTTTCCCGTAAGATGTATGAGATGGTAAATCAGTCACGAAGAGATGATAGTTGGCGGGAGGTTTTCGGTCATTGCTATAATCCTTATAACATATTGCAAAGCGTTTCACTTCGCCTCAGAGTAGATGGGTCCATGGATTGTTTTCTCATATTGGGTTAACGGCACTGTGATAGTCATGAAATAATTTCCAGCAATCAAATAACATTATAAATAGTATATTTAGTCGATTCCTTTGAAATATATTATTTGTTTAAAATGATAAATTCATATTTTTGCTGGGAATGTTTTTGAACCATAAATATTTATGTGTAATATATCATGTCTTAGAAACATAAATGTAAACATTTTAATTCTGACACATTATCGGTTATTTAAAATTCATTAGTAACCAGTTACCAATTCTGTACTCTCTAGAAGAACTCCGACGAGAATCGAAGCAAATGGTCGCAAGACTAGTGACGTCGCAGCGTTCGCACCCCCGGGTCAACGTCGGGCAAGAAATCCTTCATTGTTTTGTCCAGCTGGCTGGTCGCGAGGGCCCCAGTTAGGCAGCGGGGAGGCGCCGACGAGGGGCAACGGTCGCCGCAGGCAGCGTGGGGCGGCGGGGGCAGCGGGGCAGCGGGGCCGGTGCGGCGGCGACGGCGGGCCTGCGGGTCGTGCGGGGTGGGGCCGCGGCGACGCTGGCCGCCGCCTGCCGCTCTGTCAGGGCGGCTCGGCGACCGCACCGGTAATATATATGTCGGCGACGGCGGCTCGGACGCTTTGGAAAGAGCGCCGGCTATAAAAAGGCGGGCGCTGGCGGGGACCCGTTCTGTTGCTAATAACCGGCACCCGTCACGGAAAATGCGAGCACGAGTTATATAGCAAATCTACGCGGCGCGCGTATTCGCGGGCCACGTGCCCGGAGGCCCGCGCGCTGGCGCCCTTTCGCCCGCTTCGCCGCGCGCGTCCGCGCGTCCGGCCCCAACGCGGCCGCGCCCGGCTTCAGAGATTGGAGATCACGCATATCGCTGGGCTCTGCATTGAATTATGCATTACTGTTCGTTTACTTTTAAATGTCTGTGGGAGCGGGAGTCCGCTAATAAAGTCGGCGGCACATTCCGATGCGCCGCCGGGTCCTGCTGGCCGGGGGCCGGCGGGGCGGGGTCGTGGGCGGTGGCGGGGAGCGGGACGGCCTGCGAACAAGGGCTTTGCGGGCGGGACAGGCGCCGACGCGGGCCCGGCAATGGCGCGCGATCCCCGTAGGGCAGATCCGGCCAGTGGCAGGATATGCCGGCCGCTCACCAACGTTTTGATCGCTCTCGCACCTCGAGTTTGGACGATTCGCCTTTAATATTCCGGCCGCGCTCCATTGCATTGAGAGGAGCCGTTCGCATCGGGCTGCCCTTCATGGAGAAATTTCTTGGACGGTTCTCGTTGTTCGCTGCATTTAGCCTTTTCTAGATGATGTGTCTGGTTGGCAGTTTCAATTTAGCTGGTCCCTTAAAACACAACTTCAGACCGGCGGCGAGCATTTGTTTATACGCCGTTCCGAGTGGATTACAATGGAATACCGACTATATGTTCTCATGTGTCTGCATGGAGTCCTATCTCCGGTTCGTTGCGTAATCGGACGGTACCATCAAAGACCATTTCCACTTCGTTTGATGGCCACTTGTGTGCGCGTCGCCTCGCGGTAACGCCCTGTGATCGCGCCTGTGAGGCTATGGGCCGGGCCTCCCTGGCCGGCTGGCCCCTGCAGGGCGCGGGGCCTGCCGTGGACGGCGCGGCCGTGGCGGGCGGAGGGGCGGGGCGGGCGCCGAGAGGACGCAAGGCTGCAGGGGCGTCGCGGAGGTGGTTGTGGGCCAGGGGGCGGGCGGGGGAGCGGCCCTGGCTTGGGGACGGTGATGGGGCGGGGCTGGGAGCCGGGGGGTCAGGAACGACGGGGAAGGGCGAGGCGAGTTGGCGGCTAAAGAGATGGTGCAATGGGGGGGGGCGGTGGTTGATTCTAATTGGGGACAGGCGCTGTGGCGAAAGATAAGCAAAAGGGAATCAATGAGCAATGGAAGGATGGAGCTTGGGGCGAGTGTAGACATATTTGCTGAAGGAGAACTCGTTGCAATCACCGTCAAATCACTTCAACATATCTTGGCCGAGACGACGTAAAGAGGTACATCGTGTACTCTGAGATGGTACACACATATGCTATTCGTCAAAGGCAAAGATAATATATCTGACATAGAAGGAGTAGCGCTGTTATATTAAGAAGTCGAATTTAGAAGAAAAGTTAGCAAAGATGACCAGTAGCGGCAGCAGCAGTAAAGGAGGCAAAGTGGACGGAGTGCAGCCTGCCTGCGAGGTCTGCCCCGCGACGTCGCGGCTGCGGAGGTCTTCTCCCAGCGCGCTCTCGTCTCCCGCGAAGGGCGGCCACAGCCGCGCCCTTCACCCCTTCGCAGGCGGAGGAAGAGGGCCGCGCTCAAAGCGGGGCGGGGCGGAGAAGAGCCGCGCAGCGCCGGGCCGGGCCGCGCCGTCGGAAGCGAAATCAATTCCCGGCGGCGCGCCATGCTGTCACGTGGGCGGAGCACTCGCCTATTAGCGGACGCTCCGCCGCAGGCCTTAACACAATCTCGTTGATGTCATGAGGCCGGGGGAGGCTGCCGCCGCGCCCGCCACAAAGGCTGCGCGGCTCCCGGGGGTGGCGCGGGCTTTCTTCTCGTTTGAAGAAACGCGCTCTGAAAAAGACGCTATATGGCGTTCCGCTAACGAAAGGACTTTAATTACCGCTGGCGGGGCTTAATAAGGGGGAAGGAGTAATGTGAAAATGCGTCGGGGAAGAAGGCCTAGATGTGTGGACGACGCGCTGTGCGATGCGGCGATGACAGCGCCGACGGCAGCGCCGTCGGAGGGGACGGCAGTGGCGACGGCGGTGGGTGTGACGGCGGTGGCGGCACCGCAGTGGGGGTTTGGGGATTTCGCGTGCGGGCGGTTGGATGCATGGATCGGCGGACGAGTTGTGACGGGCGTCCCGCAGGAGGGGGTGTGTGGCAAGCGAGGGGCGAGGCGAGAAGCCGGCCGCCGGGAGGGTCCATTCGAATCTTGCGCGTGCACGCGATTCAAGTGCGTGGAATAGCGGTTGCTCCCAAAGGACGGCTGTTTGACAAATGGAGGCGTTTCAGAAAGGTTCGTATTGTGGTCGCAGTCGATGTTTCACCACAGAAACGAG